CAATAAATCAATACATGTAATGTAAACATTCAACCCACAGCCCCCAAATCAGCTAGAAAGAGTACACTGTTATTTCCCCCATGCTATTAAATACACAACAGAACTACAAAGTTACACCCAATCTAGGTAGCCATCCTTAAAAACTCAAGGATGTTTCTCCTTCTAAAGAAAGGCAACAAACACCTCTTAGACTTCCTATAAAACTCCTGTTTGAACCTAATCCTTTCTGAAGTTATCTAAAAACCAATGTCAGTCCCTCCTAACCTATTAATTATAATGTATTTCTCCTTTTGTTTTTAATCATACAACTTCTAATAATAGTTTTAATTACCCAAATCTTCTCTCTGGATGTTCTGAAAGAATATGTGGCTGGTGGAGTTTTCTTTGTACCTTAATTTTATTTAAAGGCACAGATTATGAAATGCTTCTGATAACTGTGATCTAAAAATTAGGATATCCAATAAAATGCAAGAGCCACACATACCTATATTTAGTTCCTTCATCCTGATCCATCTGAGTTTGCAGCTTTGAAAACCATAAGAAAAACTGGAAAGATAAAGAGTATTACATTGTCAACAAAACTAAATAGACAAAGTGAAAATGGCTACATGACAAACAGCAAGTCAAAAGGGTAAACACTATCTAATTCTTAATGTTTAGGGCTCAGACATTAATAATTAGTTTTAAGCCACAAGAAGATAATTTAATTCATCCACAATATCTATATGCTAGGAAAAAAAAAGGATATTAAAAATACTGGCCATTTTCAAAGTCAAGTAAAAAAGAGTATTAAAGATACAATGTGTAAAAAATACTTCTTCCTAAGAGGCTAATGCCTATTTGTTAGCTTGCAAAATTTGAGTAGGTAAAACGGGCTCTGTGTAAATATCAATATTAATGTTATCTCCTGTGAGAATACAAACTCAAAAATAATATTACATAGTTTAAGAACATGGACATTGGCATCAGCTAAATCTGGCTTTGAATTCCGGCCCTACCACCAATGTCATGGAAAAATATCTATTATTAAAAAGAAATAGGGGCCGGGCGCGGTGGCTAACGCCTGTAATCCTAGCACTCTGGGAGGCAAAGGCGGGCAGATTGCTCGAGGTCAGGAGTTCGAAACCAGCCTGAGCAAGAGCGAGACCCCGTATCTACTACAAATAGAAAGAAATTAATTTGGCCAACTAATATACATATATATATAAAATTAGCCGGGCATGGTGGCGCATGCCTGTAGTACCAGCTACTCCGGAGGCTGAGGCAGAAGGATTACTTGAGCCCAGTAGTTTGAGGTTGCTGTGAGCTAGGCTGACGCCATGGCACTCACTATAGCCTGGGCAACAAGCAAGACTCTGTCTCAAAAAAAAAAAAAAAGAAAGAAATAGGGTGTTTGAACTTAAATGAGCATGAAAGAACTTTTTAGGGTGACATAAATATTTTATATCTTGACCGTAGTGGGAGTTATACAAGTACATACACTTGTCAAAACTCAGCAAGCTAACACTTAAAATGAGTGTCATTTTATTGTACAGTAAATGTATACAAATTGTATGTATTGTATGTAAATTATAACACAATACGTTAGTTTTTTTTAATTTTAAAGAGAGATATTCAGGTGCAAATTTAATCTAGAAGGCTTTTTTTTCCCCAAACAGTCTAAACAAGTTCACAGACATGGTGCAAGATTACCTTCTACAATTCTCAAGTGAGATTCAATGTCCAGGCTACGCAGGTGTGCCATGTACCTTGGCTACCATTCACTGAGCATGTATTGTGTGCTTGCCAGGCACTGTATTTACATGCATTATTTTAATACTCACAAAAATTCTATGAGATAGGTATGTAATTGTCCTTGTTTTACAGATTAGGAAACTAAAGATCTAAGAAGGTAGTATTGCCTAAGCTCACAAAGATGGTAAGGGATGGAGTTGAATTTCAGATGCAGGTCAGCCTAACTCAGGAGCTGGAGCTCTTAATGGTTTTGTAGCACTCCCTCTCTAGACTTACTATATTCACAATTCACTACATTTGCTTTGTATTTTACTTGGTAAATGCCTCAGCTTTGACTCTTAACAAGACAAAAAAGAGGAGACAAGGGAAGTGGCAGAAGAAACTGTTATACGTTTAGTTTTGTAATTTGAAATAAGCAAAAACCAAGAGAAAATTACACATTAAATTACTGAAAAATAACTATAAAAGTTCATCTACAGAGAATATTTACTTTTTTTAAAAAGGGATTACCTAGCAACAAACGAGGAGAGTACTAGGGGGATAGCTTAACACAGACATACATTACAGGAAGTCAAAAATGCGTAAAATATTAAAACCTTAATAATATAATAATCTATCAACATCCAAACTTGGAAAATCATATTTTACCTATATTGCAAATATAATTAAGAAATAGATTCAATGAAAACACTTAATAGCCACAACTAACACAAAATTAAGAATGTTCTAGAAAGACTTGATGTTAACTATATGTCAAATCTTTAGAACTTTTAATTAGAACCATTTTTATTAGCCTTGTCTTGAGACACCTAAAATAATCAAACATCCTTAGAAAAGATACTGCAATTCACCTGCTGTGCAGTTTCAATTCTTTCTTCTTCCATTCCTAAGGAAGTGAAACCCTTCAAGAGAATGTCTTCTGTAGACTCAGGCACTATTGATTTCAGTTCAGCAGGCAGCAACTGAGGGGGTAAACTGCACGAGTCTTCAACTGGGAGCTTGAAAAAGAGAGCCACAAAGATACTTAAATAACCTGAAAATTCTATGAACTTAATTCAAGACTGGGTTTCCATCTCAGTTGTTTTTAAAGAGAAAGAAATGTTTGCCATTAAATCATAGGAAGTTAATAAATACCATATAATACTAACACTTTTAATTAGACTCTATGTTAAATGCTAGTCTCAAATTGTAAACATGGCTAAGTAGGGTGGCGTGCACCTATAATTTCAGCTACTCAGGAAGCTGAGGTGGAAGGACTGCTTGAGCCCAGAAATTCAAGACCAGCCTGGGCAATACAGTGAGATCTCATCTCAAAAAAAAAAATAAAAAAAAAGAGAGAGAGAAACATGATAAAGAACTCCCACCAATGATAAAGTATAATTTTTCAGTTAGCTTTCTTTCTTTCTTTTTTTTTTTTTTTCTTGAGACAGAGTCTCGCTTTGTTGCCCAGGCTAGAGTGAGTGCCGTGGCATCAGCCTAGCTCACAGCAATTCAAACTCCGAGGCTCAAGCGATCCTTCTACCTCAGCCTCCCGAGTAGCTGGGACTACAGGCATGCGCCACCATGCCCAGATAATTTTTTCTATATATATTTTTAGTTGGCCAATTAATTTCTTTCTATTTATAGTAGAGACGGGGTCTCGCTCTTGCTCAGGCTGGTTTCGAACTCCTGACCTCGAGCGATCCGCCTGCCTCAGCCTCCCAGAGTGCCAGGATTACAGAAGTGAGCCAGCGTGCCCAGCTGAGTTAGCTTTCCAATAGGGGTGGTGAATCTATGCTAACCCACACACATTTCTTACTTGAACCTCTTGTGAACTACCACCAAACAAAGAGAAAACCTGTGTGTTGTTGAAAGTAGCTTGCCCTCCCCAGTATCTCACACAAAAGCCTGACCAACCAACAGGGTTAACAAATCATACCCAAAAATTAACAACCAATAAACATCACTCCTCCTACCATTTCCACTCACAGGCATACTTCATTCACGCCTTCTTACTGACAAATTTTGAAATTACAACTGAATAGGAAGAATTTTAGAGTCTCTGATCAGTTTCAGAAGAACCCCATGGACAAAGCCTCACTTTGACACCATTAAAACTACAGTACTTTCTAGTTATCCACTACTAAAGATAGCCCAGGTGTTAATTTACCTACGGTCTATAGACAAGCTGTTTTTAGACCTAAAAAAAGGCAGGGGGGAGGAGATGCTGGGGAAAAAGTAAAAGGGCCTCATTGTTCAGGTTCAAGTCCAGTCTTTCAGCCCTTAGCTCAAGACATTTAAGGTCCACCAATATAAGACATGATCTAAGGCCTTACGAAGTTACTTCCCTGTCTATTTTTCTAAATATAGAAGTTTCATCTGAGGATTGCATTTTATCTTCAAAGCTAAAATAAACTAGATGCAAAATGTACCGCCACTAATTTAGAATCAATCCTTTAAATACAGGGTTTTTTGTGAATGGGTTCAAATGGGGCTATACTTATGACATGGGAAAGTATATTACAATGCAGCATGGTTAAAATCCTACTACTGCTTATAAGTTGCACAAGATTGGACAAATTACTTAATGCTTCTAATACCCAATTTCTTCTCTTATCTGATACAGATCCAGTATCTGTAGGCTACTGCGAAGAGTAAAGAAGAAAACACAGGTGTGGGGAAATTAGCTTCTTGGAATGCTGGGTAGATGCACACAAAGTGTTCAGGAAGGTTCTTGATCTGGTTTCTCCCCACAAATGAGTCTGACTCAAGAGTCATGAGGGTCCTGGGTGTAGGTACATGTGTCTTATTAATGGTAGTATTTGTTTATGTCAACTCTTCTTGAATGGTAATATAATCCCTGAGTATAATAAAAGGACTGTGGACCAGCAAGAATTAAGTTTTTCAAATCCAGTGAGAGTTTATCTTGAGTCTAAAGTGTCACCAGCAACTGTGTGCTGTTACCAGCGTTCTGCAGGACAGAGGAAGCTGTGCTGAGATATCCACATCTGCACCTGCTCTGTGGAACCACCCCAATTACCAACAATGAGCTATCTCCTTGAGGAGAAAAGGCAGCCCACCCAAGACAATGCTGTACGTATAGCACTTAGCATAAGATCTGCCACAGAGTAAATACTCAATAAATTTGAGCTGCTGCTATTATTTAACATATTATTATTATTCCTATTTATTAGCAGCAACATAGTAAGTAAACTAATAAATCTGAATGTATACTGCTTCTTGGAAACAGAATAATCACTAAGCTATCTTTACAAAATCATATTTTATTAGTAGTAAAATTTAGTTCCACGGCAGACGGGAGGCTCGGATTTAAAAAATATGCCAGAAACACATGAATGCTAGGCTAGGATGAAAAAGGTTAGGGAAAGAAGTTGCTTGTACCCTAACAATAAGAAAAAGCTAAATAATCTACAAAACCGTAACTATTCGTGAATCCATCAGAGCTGAGGTTGCAGAGTAACCAAACAGCTTAAAATCCAGGGAAAGACAGGCACCTCAACTGGCTCACCTGCAGCAAATCATGGAAAAAAAATAGATGACAAACATGATACAAGTGGGTAAGCGAATTCAGCTAAGATTTTTCACCAATTGCTAAAGGCTAAGGGTGAGTAAGGGTTGAGTATACCTAATCCAAAAATCCCAAATCCAAAATGCTGTGAAATTCACGACTTTTTGAGCACTAACATGATACTCAAAGGAAAGGCTCACTGGAGTATTTAGGATTTTGGATTTTCAAATTAGGGATGCTCAACCAGTAAACAAATATTCCAAAAGCCCAAATCCGAAATCAAAAACACTTCTCCCAAGCAATTCAGAAAAGGGATACTCAAGCTGTAGGGAGCACCTGGAAGCCACTGACACAAAGAAATTCACAGCCACTCACATGGGCTTCCCCACAGACCTCCATTAGATGCTCACGAGTAAGAATGTGAGCAAGGTGGTTGGTGCAGGCCTGGAAGAGGGGAGTGGCTGCTACTGTGTGGGGAAAGTGGGACACAAAGCCTCACCTGAACCCTTCTTCCCTGTGGAACAAAAGCCTGAAACAAAAGGGCGGCAAATTCTGTCAACCCTAGGACACAGAGGAAGACTACTACAGCTAGGGAAAGGGAAATAAAAAACAACCATTACCACTGGGGGACAGGTAAGAAACCATCCAGGCTTCAGAACATTAGAGGTCTCCTACAGCTAGAAGAGAGACAGAATCAGTGAGAAAGCCCTTCCTCCAAAACCCAGGGACAAAGGGCCTGCCTAAGACTGAGGCTTGACCTAGGTGACAGAAAACTCGCACGTACCACTACCAATCTATAAAGTACCAGCAACCTACTTCTGAGGGAAGGGACAAAATCAAAAAGAGCAACACTCTCTGAGGCATAAGCACACAACACACCAAAAGCTGAGGGTAGAGGTGGAATATTAAGAAAACCCGAAAGTGGCGGCCGGCAAAGAAGAGACAAGGACACTGCGGCATGACGCCATGCCTTTCTTCGATATACAGAAAAGGCTGGGCCTTAACTTAGATCGTACGATGACAATCCAAAGTGGTGAACAGCCCCTCAAGTTGCCTGCTCGATGCCATGCTTTTGAAAAAGAATGGATAGAATGTGCACATGGAATTGGTGCTGTCCGGGCACAGAAAGAGTGCAAGATAGAGCATGATGATCTCGTTGAATGTCTACTTCGGCAAAAAACAATAAAACGTATGTGTACCATCCAGAAGCAGCGGGATAAGCTAATAAAGGAAGGGAAGTACACCCCTCCACCTCACCACATGGGCAAGGAGGTGCCTAGGCCCTGAACAGAGCGGTAACTGATGGCTGGAGGCTGATTTTCATGTTCTCCAATCTTCACTGGAAAGATGATTTACTGAAAACCCCTTTGTCAAATGTGTAAAAATAAAGGATTGCTCCAAAAAAAAAAAAAGAAAACCCATCTAAAGACATGGACACAAGCATGCATAGCATGAATGCATGCATGAAGAAAGAAGGAAAGAAAGGAAAGGAAAGGAAGGAAGGAAGGAAGAAAGAAAACCCTGCAGCAACTCATTTCCCCACCCTAGGCAAAAGGCTATGCTAGAGAAACGTGAAACCAGTGGTAAACAAAGATAACCAGAGCAACAACATGACCTAAATAAAGCCAGCTCAATCCCTGACCAGACTGACTCAACCTCCCACACTAACAACCTAAAAAAAAAAAAGAAGTGTGCCCTTTTTAGGCATTAATACTATGCCCTTCCTTCTCTACTGTCCTGCATACAATGCTCAGCATTCAATATAAAGCAAGAAAAAGCTACTTACTGTCAAGAGACAAAGCAATCAACAGAGCCAGACTCAAATGACCTAGATATTGGAACTATCAAAGAACTTAAAATAACCATGATTAATATGTAAAAGGCTCTGATGTAATATATAGATAAAAGTTATGAACACACATACAGAATGTCAGCAAAAAAAATGAAAACCACAAGTGTCAAATGGAAATGCTAGAAATAAAAATCACGGTAACAGATGAAGAAACTTGCAATGGGTTCATCAGTGCACTCAGCACAGGTAAGGAAAGAATCAGTGAACTTGAAGTTAGGTCAATAAAAATCACTGCTCAAGCTGGATCAACGTCTCTGAAAAAAAGTAAAAAAATAAATAAATAACAATGAAAAATAAAAATCACTGAAAATGAAACACCAAGAGAAAATACAGTGGGGAAAAAAGAAAACTGAACATAGCATCCAAGAATTGTGGGATGGTATCAAATTATATATGTGTAATTGAAATTCCAAAAGAAGGAGAGCAAGAGAGAATAAGGTAAAAGAAATATCTGAAGATATAGCAGTTCAGAATTTTCCAAAAATAATGAAAGATATGAAACTACAATTCTAAGAAGCTCAGAGAACCCCACACAGAACACACAAACACATACACACCCCTCTATACACATCATATTCAAACTCCCAAAAATCAAAGATAAAAATCTTAAAGGCAAACAGAGGGAAAAGACACATACAGAGGAACAACGATAAGAATTACAGCAGACTTCTCATCTGAAATTATGCAAGCAAGACAATGTAGTGACATCTTTAAAATGTCAAAAGAAGAACATTCAACCCAGAATTCTATACTAATCAAAAATATCTTTCTTAAATGGAGAAATAAAGACTGTTTAAACAACCAAAAGCTTAAAGAATTCATTACAAGCAGACCTGTACTACAAGAAATGTTAAAGTTCTTCAGAGAGATGAAATATAATACCAGATAGAAACATGAATCTACCAAAAAAAAAAAAAACCTAGACCTCCAGAAATGGTTAAAATGAAGGAAATATGACAGTTTTCTCTTTTTAATCACTCAAGAAGAAATGTCAAAAGCAAAAATAGTAGCAATGTATTATGGGTTTATAACATATATAAAAATAAAATGTGTGAAACAATAGCACAAAAGAGGGGAAACGAAGAAATCAAAATATTCTGTTGTAAGGTTCTTATACTATACATCAAGTGGTATAATATTTAAAGGTAAACTGTGACTAATTAAAGTAGTACAGATGCTCCTCAACTTACAATGGGGTTGTGTCCCAATAAACCCATGATAAGCTGAAAATGTCCTAAGTCAAAAAATGTACAGGTGACTGGGAGCTGTGACTCACTACTACTGCCCAGCATTGCAAGAGAAGTACACTTTCTACTGAAACATGCTGCTTTCACATCATGGGAAAGTCAAAAAATCTAAGTCAAACTATTGTTAAGTCAGAGGCTGTCTGTATGTTGTAAATCCTAGGGCAAACACAGAGAATTTGGCAAACTTCAGTCCTTGAATACAACCTAAACCCATATCCATCTTTAATTCAATTTCTTTTGAGAAAAAAAAATATAAATCTATTTTAAGGAATGTAAATCAATATTAAAATCCTGGTTGTGACACCAAATACTATAGTTGTGCAAAATGTTACCAATGAGAGAAACTGGGTATAGTGTACAGGAGATATTTTTGCACTATTTCTTACTTACAACAGCATGTAAATCTCAATTATCTTAATTTTTAAAAATTATTGTAATAACCATATTCTCCTATCAGAGTTCATGAGGCCTTATACTAGTACCTTATCTGGTACTACTTCATAATACATAACAAATTCCAGAAAAAAGTAAAATTCCTCTTGTTCTAGAATCATTTGTAATATATAGAGCTGTCCTTTTAAATGTATTCATTTTGACTAGGTAATAAATTCTCACAGCACAAAATTCAAAGAATATTCAGTGAACAGTCACCTTCCTCTGGACCCATTCTCCAGCCATCCTTCCTCAGAGGCAGGTTATCATTTGTCACTGGTTTCTTTTGTATCTTTCCCAAAACAGTCTATATACATACAAAGGAAGTGTACATTTTTTTTTAACCCAAATAACAGTTTACTGTAACACCTCACCTTTTTCATTTAATATGCATTTTAAATTGTCTCTTCAACAGAGTATAAGAAAAAGACAGAATTTACTCTTACTTTGTCAGTAAGCTATAATGAGCTCATTATCTCAAAAATCCAAGAGTAAAAAATGATATTTAAGTAAAAATCAATCTCCCATCTTTGCCTCTTCCCTGCCCATCCAATTCTTCTCTGAGGCAAGACCGACATTTATAATTTAAGAAGTATTTTCTAAGGAATTTAAGAGTAGAATAAAAAAACTTTAAAAGTAAAAAGGAACCAAAGAAATAATTTCCAATTTTTATCAATCTTTCTTTTGTAAAAATTATTCAAAATACATGAATATAATTTTTAAATTCAAATCATCAAGAGTTAAAATGAAAAGTAACATTCTCCTCCAACCCAACTTTTAGCCATTTTCAGTATTTTTGATATAACTATAACTCTAAAAACTCTATAACTCTAAAAAACAAATTTACAACTTCGTGTTTGAATTCATTGATTTTAGTTTCTATCTATTGACTCTTACTTCATCAAGTAAGATGAAAAAATTAGTACCCCTATATTTTCTACCCTACTTACTTTTCAAATACTGTCATCTATACCATCTCTTTTTTAGATTTTCAAATTTCATAATATTTACACTTTGTTCTGTAATTAAGACTTTAGACTGATTTTTAAAATGATACTATTTTTTTCTTCCTCTCCCCCAAAATGATACTATTAATACATGCTTCCTGCCTTCTATAAATTTGCCAAAACTGCAGGTTCATTGACACTGTCTTTGGTTTTGGTGTGCCACATATTTATTACTGTCATTTCACACGGATCCAGGGGTATCACATGTGTGTTCAGTCTGTTATCTTGAAACAAAAAATGTTTATCTTCTAATTTACTTCAGAAAATAAAACATTACAGAAACTCTGGATACCTGAGAAGTTACTATGGATATTCCAGACATATTGTATAATCTAGGTGTGGGTAAACATGATAATTTAAATTTATGAAAGAATATTCCATTTGATTACTTCAAGCACAAATACTACTTTAATACCACAAGCAGTAGGGGGCTCCTTGTTCCCTTATTCTCACTAGGACAAAATTATTTTCTCTCAAACCAAGCAAGAGAGAAATAACAAGGCATCTACTTCAAAGCAATAATTTTTTAAAGTAACAAAACAAGTTGCTTTTTAATAGAAAATGAGAAAATGCCCCCATTAGGTACACAACCTTCAAGAACGGGTGTGGTTGTGGTGGTATCATATACTTTCCTGTTCTGACCTTTCATTCACTTCATAGGAGGAGGTGACTAAATGCTTCCTGCTCACTAGCACTGGCCTGGCTTCCAGATGGAGCAGACAGATACCACAGATCTAGGTTTCTGGTGGGCAGAGCTGGAAAGCTACCCAGCTAACATACTAAATAATAACTACAATAAACTATCAAGCATTGCCTGACCAGCTGAGCAGATCTAGGAAAAAACAAGTAAACATACTTTCTCTCCTGTCTTAATCTGTTTGTGTTGCTATAAAGGAATACCTGAGGCTGAGTAACTTATAAAGAAAAAAGGTTTATCTGACTCACAGTTCTGCATGCTTTACAAGATGCGTAGCACCGCCTTTTGCATCTGTGCAGAGCCTCAGACTGCTTCCACTCATGGCAGAAGGAGAAGGGGAGCTAGTATGTGCTAGAACATTTGACAAGAACAGAAGCAAGAGAGAGAGCAGAGGTGCCAGGCTCTCTTCAAGAACCAGTTCTTGTAAAAACTGAGAATGTGGAATCAGGCTAGAATGGCATCAAGCCATTCATGAGGGATCCGCCCCCACAACCCAAACACTTCTCACCAGACACCACCAACAATACTGGGGATCAAATTTTAACAGGCAGGGCCTTGGCAAACCATATATCCAAACCATACCATCTCCCAAGTTCTACTTCTCATAAAGTTCTGGGATAGAAAAAGATCATTTTTATAATCATCTGATCAATTCATTCCCTAAATGAAACCTGATGTTACTTTCTCTGTGTGGAGCAAAGCATTGAAGAGGTATAAATGGAGTCTCAGAACCTTCCTCAAGGTACCCAACCCCTTCTTTTCTTACCTTTGATCTGAGTGACACCTATACCAGCTCAGAACCACAGAATTCTAATCTGCTCTTTTAAGATGGGCTATAGTTTGGATATGGTTTGTCTGACGCCTCCAAATCTTATGTTGAAATCTGATTTCCAACATTGGAGGTGGGGCCTAATGGGAAGTATGTGGGTTACCATTGCTGATCCCTCACCAATAGTTTACTCCCTTCTGGGGTCACAGTAGAGCGAGTTTATGTTCTATTAGTTCCAGCAGGAGCTGGTTGTTAAATAAAAAGAGGCTGGCACCTCCCTCCCCTCTCTTTTACTTCTTGTCTCACACCATGTGATCTCTACACATGCCAGCTCCACTTTGCCTTCTACCATGAATGGAAGCAGCCTGAAGCCCTTATCAGAAGCAGATGTTTCTTATACAGCCTGCG